AGAAACTACCTCGGTTACCGCAATCAAAAACCCGGCGTACGTTCCTCGCACACGAGATCAGAATTTATAATCCAACTGGATGGAAAGTAGAAACCTATGGACAAGAGATGAGTAGGGAAATTTTAGGCTCGTAACTGAAAAAAATAAGAAAATTGTTCGCAATTTCAGAGCATTAGAGTATTAGAGTATTATGTATTACGCGCGACTGCATAAATTACCGCACACCGCTGCCCGACGAAGCAGTTCGTATGCTCACACGCGTGGCTAGCCTCTACACTTACATCATTGAGTGATCTGAATTTGAATATTGATGCGGTTAGCAGTAGATTAAAAGCGTGTCGAATATCAATAGAGGCATTAAACCGCCTGGTTGCTACTTTACTATTTGCAGACGTATTAACGCTTCTGCTCGAGTTTCTTTCGAAACGTAACTCAAAATTTGGTAGTAATCTACGAAGACTAAGAGGCGCGAAGGTTTCTCGTTTAACCCTTTATTTATTACGACTTTCAAGCCCGCTTCTATGAAGTTCGTTTTTAATTGTTGGATGGCGGCACAAGCTTTTTTGAAAGCTCGTTAGAGACAACTCTATGGACGTCTAGATTTCAAAAACTTTTGAGAAATTCAGTAAATAAAGGGTTAAAGGAAATGACCTCCCACCACCTTCTCGATTCCACACCCTTCGACGTATAAGAGGCACGGTCCAGACTCGGGCGTCTCTTAGACAGTAGCTCGAGTAATATAGCGAATAATAGCTCAACAACAACAACTGGGAATGGGGGTGGTTTGGAATTGTGGAAATCTTGGTCTGAACTCAGCCATTATCAGCGGACTAACCTGTTGCCGCGGGAAGTTTGACGGGCACCGCGACTATTCCAGATCGCGACCACGCAGAACATCAAACCGGTGACGCTCCTCCTGTGGATAGCAGAGTGCGCACGGTTGGTTGGCGGCGGGTGGAAGCGGGTACCCTAACGGCCGATATCTGAGAACAGACAGGCGTGGGGCCATCGAGCTCGTGGCGCGTGGCGCGTGGCGCGTATTCGAGCAGTAGCGGGCAGCGCCGAAACGTGCCGATCGACGCTCGCCAAGTTACGATTTGCGCGCGACGGAACGGTGAATTCCGCGTACGCGTCGATTATTTATCGAGTTATCGCGTAGACGAGCGCGCGTTCCACGATTCCGTTCGAGAAAAAGAGATAAAATAGATAGATATATATATATATATATATATATAGAGAGTGAGAGAGAGAGAAAGAGAGAGATCTCCATCGACTGGAGGAGTTATCGCGAACGAAAAGTTTCCACGCGAGTGAGCGACGTCCGAGCGACAACGTGCGACGATAATCCATGGATCATCCAGTAACACGAGGTTGACATTACTCGCGACTCCGTTAAATCGACCGACTGGTTGCTGATCGTCGAAGCGAACGATCGATTCCATCGGTCGAACGCGCCTTGACCCTTTAAGGACGGGCGTGGCCAGTGGCCCCTATAGTTTGGCTCTTTTAAAGACGATTGTGCCTTGCGTTCCGACGATAAAACTAGGTTTCGTTCGGAGCCGAGCCTAACCTTGTGTTTTCTTCAACTTGTTCATGTGGAATATTGCTACCTATGCTCGAACAATTAAAACATAAAGCTCATTTGCACGAACGTCGCGTCGCCGCAAGATTTATCGCGTTCGAGTTATATATACACTCGTTCTCCATTAAATAGCGGAGTCGAATAAATTTACCTGATAACAAACCTGTCGTGGTTACATTAAGTAAAAGATACCAGTCGAACACAGCAACGTAACTTGTACGAAATAAGAATAGCTGGGGTTGGTACGTCAGCCAGAAGTTGCAGGTTGAAATCGCCAGTCCTTAAAGGGTTAGGCAATTCCCTGAGATCGAATCGCGGCTACCTCGGCGCGATAACGACTCGGAGCGTCGAGAGGATCGGTTCTGGAGCGTGACGTAGCTTCCGTCGCGTTGTTTCGCGCCAAGATTCGAATTATCTTCGACATCGGCGGTTGCTCCTCTCCCGCCACCCGGTTGCTCCGTTCCTTGCTGGTTCTCCCTCCGTGTCCCGGCTCTTCCTCCGTCGGCTCGGCCTCCCTCCACGCCCCGAGGAGATCGGGAGATACGTTATTGGGTAACCGCAACCTTGAGGTGCTTAATCGTAGGTAGCCGAGTCGCGACGGATCAGTAGTGCGAAGAGAAACGCAAGGCTGCCACGATCCAGCGTCGCTAGATCAACGAGACCGAAAAATGTGCTCGCTCGCCGCTCGAGCGTGTCGTTCCCGTTATCCCGAAGAGACACTCTCACCGTTACCGAAAGCTCCTCTTCCGCTGCCGGTGAATCCAAGGATATGATCGCCTCCACGCGTGTGCTCGCCGGTTTTGCCAGTTTGTTCGCGATTTTCGCGCCTCCATCGACTTTCCTCGTCAACCACGCTGGACGACGACGATCCTCCGCGATTTCTCAACGCCTCGTTCCTGGTTACTGCACTTTCGCCGGGTGTCGTATGCACGGTGCTCCGTCCATCGCGTGACTAGCGTGCCGGACGAGGAGAAGAGGTGCTCGAAGAATCGACGATCGATGTCGTCGACGTTCAACCACCGACACTGTGACCGCGATCCACGAAGAAGAGGGAAACCGTCGCGAAGCCAGTGACGTCCATCGGGACGGGGATCGTTCGCGATCCCGACAATCCTGGAACGGTGCTGCCGATATCCTAAATCCAGATCTATGGGACTTGGACGAAACGATCGATGATCAGGTCGCTCTTATTCTTCCCACTGGAGGATCCGTGAAAGGGACAGTTTGATTCTGAACTGTTTACGGTGTTCCTTCTTCGATTCCGTTCGTTCTCGTCCGGCACAGTCCTGGTCTCTTCCTTTCTCGACCGCGTACTGGCCCCCGCGTTCGACCACGTGCGCGCGTGCTGTCCACATCGCGGCCATACACACTTTGACCCCCTTTTTTCGGCCAACGACTGCTGCTGCGACGAGATGCCAGTGTTCAATATCATTACTCGAAGATGCAAGGTGAGTTCAGTGAGAATCAACGAAATTTGACGAGTAATTTTGTCGCCTTCGAGTATTCGCGAGGTAATCAATTTATTTCGTTTATAAATTGCACGAACCCTGTAAGTGCTCAAAGTTAGTATACACAAACACTACGTCACGATAAATATGTACACCTATTTCGTTCCAAGTTCAGATATTTTTTAAGTTTCAAGTAAGAAGATTATTCTCGGTATCGCCACGATAGGGCCATAATTGTGTTCACTGTACCGCATAGTTGATAGACCTTGGATTCCCGCGCATCGCAAATAGGTACCCATGCTGCATTTATAGCAAATCACATTCATTCGTACATCCAGGTACTCGATAGACGAGGTATAGACGGATACAACGGAAAACCGTTTCCCCTTCTTCGATTTTTGTTTTTCTCATAACATATTTATTTATATCGAATGCAAGCTCGGCTTTTCTACATCAGAAACTTGTTGTCGCTATCTGCTGGAGAGAATCTTATATCTAATCGCATCGACGAAAGAAAAACGAGTGAAAAATCAAACCTCGAAGTACTTGGCTCGTGTTCCCGGTACAAGTAATTCCGATAATTGTAATAATAAATATTCCACATAATTTCACAAAATAGAACAATATTACTCGAAGTCGAACAAATGAATAGAGGCTTTTTTTTTTTACATTCTAAGAGAATGAGATCGATCAGAAAAGTGTCAACGAACGCCAGTCGCGGAAGCAACAATTTTCGAATAATGCATGTGAATCGCTTGGATTCGCACAAAGCGTTAGAGCATCGTCGTCGGCATCGATTGCTGATTGTTCTTCCAGTAATTGTTCGGACCTTGGTCCACGCTGATTCCATATCGCGCGTCAAACGTCGAAGCCTCGGTTCGAGTACTTGACTGACGATAAAGACGCGATCGTTCTCTTGTGTGCCGGGAGCGCGTTGGAAGTTACGGAACGATTATGTTCGCGTAATCGCATCCGATCACGATTCGCGGACGCCACGCGCAACGTGTCGTTAAGACAAATTAATACGCAGAAATTATTTCCCTCTATAACGCAACGCTTTAACCAACTTCTTCGAGAAAGTAACGACTCATCGCAAGAGTAAAACGGAATAGATATTGTAGCTAGATATACGTTGTATATCCAAGTAACACGTGGAGTTGCCACTTTCCTAGATACATCTTATTAAAGATTCAAAGGGATCCTGGAAAGATCTGTGATGGCACCTCCTGTCTTCGCCACTAGAGGGACACCGCGCGTTTCTCGCAATTACTCGGTAACATCAAAATATAATCCATTCCCGACCGACCTCCAAACCTCCAGGCGTCTAACCCTTTATTTACTGAATTTCTCAAAAGTTTTTAAAATCCAGGCGTCCATAGGCCCAAGACGAAACCTCCCTTCCTTTCCTGCCCTCTCTCACACCCTCCCGTGACAGACACCGCCGCCATAAAGTGTTTCATTTGAATACAATTATCCCTTCTCACTATAAAATTCTAAAGAAACCGCGATCTTCGGTTTAGAGTGATGTTCCCTTGACGAAGCTCGATCTCGATCGCGGTTTGCTTTAAATTTTTCCTCCGTGGCGTCCTTCTCCCACCAGTTTAGCTCGAGGCGAGTATGACGGGAATGCTGGATGACCGCGATAAACCGTTTTGTGAGCTTTCCGACGGTTGAAGCGTCGTTAACTATGAGTCTGGAGAAAACGTTCCTCGAGATAGCAGATAACAATGATCCCGTCGATAACCGCTTATCTCGATAAAGCCGACGTTAAATCAACGATCCTATCAGAATGATGCGAACGCCGTACGTCCGCGAATGGGAGCGTTACATAAAAACGGTTATGGTTGCGCGCAGGTACGTGCTCGCGCGTGTCCAAGAACCAACGGAAACACGGCTCGTTACGAGAAACGGAAACCGATCTCCGATCGCTTTTCCTCGCTCGCGTGGTTAACGCCAGAGGTGAGCAAAACTCTTATCTGGATACAAACGTCGAGGAACGAACAACAGATAAGCAACCGTCTGTTTGTTATTCGTCGAACGAAAATTGGATGTCTAATTCTGCATAGAAGTAATTCTGCATAAGTACAGTGCAGTTAGCGTAGACAAGTATAGAATAAGTTGTGTCAGGGTAAAAGGATAGAATTCTTGTGTAGATACACGTCGAACGACTAAAGGATCGTTCCTCGTAGAACAAAAATTAGAAGTCACGTCACATCGAACAACTAACATCACACTTATCGCTATATTGTTTTATTCGTTATCAGCTCCTCGAATAAACTTTGGCTCGTTTTTGATTAACAGTTCCTTATACAACGACGTTCTACTCGGTGCCACTTGAGACGAGGAAATGAAATTGAAGCGTAAAGTTCTACCGAACACCATTTAATCACTCAGACGTAATCGTAACGACAATCATACAAATATGTTTCTTTTTTTGTCTTTCAAGTAATTAAAACGCGATCGAGAAGTCTCGAAACCCGTTTTTCCAGTTTGCTTCTCGTTTCCAAGATTTTTTTTTGCGGGTCTGCAAATAAAAATCATCCCTGTCTCGTAGATGCGCCGTTCTCTCCCACGAAAATCGGCGTGTCACGTATATGCGAGCGTCGCGTGGTAACGAATGCGTTAATTTGGCCGCGCTCGGAAGAATATGGTTGCAATGGTTATACTCGCGTGAAAACCGCAAACATTTGTAACTCACTGCGGAACATTTTGTTTATTCATTTATTTTTCCATTTGTTTGCCCGGGGACCGGAGAACCCTCCATCTCCATGGATACGATACACGTCGGTCTGGAGAAGCATACTGTACATACAGAGAAAACGGAACGTGCAATGAAATGATGTAGCAGTTATCGGAGATTACGTAATAATATTCGGATATCCCGGAGAATATCGCGCATTTCAAGACCCTAATTTATTAACTGACAACAGAGCGTAATTTCAAGCGTGATGATTTACGGCCTCCTGCCATCGTTCCGAATGGAATTGCGTTCCCTTCCCGCGCAATTCCGTTTGCTCGGTTGCAAAAAGTAGACGGAATCTTTGACTCGAACAACTCGCGAACGACCGCCGAGATAACCGCCTGTCCAATTAATAACAGCTTAGACAATGGCTACATAATCGGTGGACGATCAACTTTATCGAATTCTTTCGTAAAATCGGTACAGGCATTATCGACATAATACTTTAATCTTCGGAGTCAGTCACGTAGTTGTAAACTAATGCTTAGATTGTTACACTATCAGGTAGCTGGATCGATAGAATCAGGGTTGGCTTCCAAGTTTGCGTTTGAAAAATAAAGTAAATACGCGGTAATCCTCCGCAAAGTTCGCTCGAATCGATTCTAATATCGTTGATTAATCTTGTATAACATCCGAGGAATCTACGTTAAACGCTTTCGATCGCGTGAATGCGCATAATTTGTTAGGGGACCCGAATAATGCTCCGTACTCCAACTTAGAAGCAAGGAACGTGTTACCGTCGCGATGCTGCGGCTAAACATATTCATTTGGACATATTCGCGACAGCAATTATTGCGTCTGCGTTCTCGCCGCTCCCCTCCCGCCTAGTTACATGCTAACACGTATACTATACATATCGAGTGCGATAACGAGCAACTCCAGTACACGTGTTCACGCTCCCGACGTCAATTAGGTCCACCTACCGTCTCGCCGTCATCTGCCGCACGACTTGTTCCTTCTTCGCGCCTTTTCCGCTCCGCTTCCGCGTTACCTATGCGAAAGAGTAAGGAGTAACGAGTTAGGCAACGGTCGTATCGAATCCGCCGTCGTTGCGTTCAGAAATGAGCACTAGGAAATAAGAGACAAACAGGACAGATTAAATTCAGAGCCAACACGTTGACTGCTGAACTAACGGTGAAAATTCCAACAAAGTTAAAATTTTGTTTCTATAGAATTAGACACGACGATCCAACTTCTAGTGGTATTTATTTCCGCGACCTCTTTAAAATTTATCATTTTATTTCCGCGGTGAAAATCCTTGCTCACCCATACGTGGCGGTGAACGTGTTAGAGTTAAATTAAAATCAGGTGAATGGGGACCAGTTTCAATCCGCAAGAAATTTAATTAAAACTGTTTGGAATATGTGTAAGTGCTGTTTGAATTTTGCATACGCGGTATGTAGAGCGCAAGACGATACGGGTGCGATACGCGCGACGCAACGCGATGCTACGCGACGCGATACGACGCCACGCAAACACACTCGCGTGTGTATGTGCGTGGAACATTGTCGACGATTTTGATGGCTCGTCGATTAATTGACAATACACTGTAACGTCCGCATTGTTTGCATGCAGAGATTACACGCGAAATCTTCGTTCGTGATAAAATTAATATAAAATCGACGAACTCGCCCGGAATTTCTTTTTTTTTTCTTTTTTTTTTATGCATCATGCGCGACTTGAAGAAAGAGTGTTCGCGTTACTATTTTTGAAAGGAAGAAATAATTTAATTCCTCCGACATTATCAGTAATAGGTTACTTTCAAAGTAAAATTTTCAACCATTGAAGAAACAACCGCGAAAATTGATAAGTCGATAATTATCGTATACTCTGAATATACTTAAACGCAAAATGTTTTTTACGACAGAGCTAACTTCAAGTGGCTACACGTTACCATAGTTAACGAACAACTGACTAATGGACTTAGGCCACTTTCAAAATGGACGGCCCGTACGGCGTATGCAAAGAACTCCATTTAACCGTTAATCTATGCCGATGTGTTGTCAACTGAAAAAAAAAATAACGTTGAAAGTTATGAAAAACATTATCCGGAGGATGAATTATTCATTTCCGTGACGGCAAGCAAAGCACTGTTACGTCTATTAGAGTTAACGAAACTCCAGAAAGCTTTGCGGAATTGTTCGAGATATCGAGTCCACACTGTTTGTACGCATTCGCGCGAGCATTGCAAGGATAAGTTTCGAATGATGCGAACGTGTGCGAACGCAAACGGGAGTGTTACATAAAAACAGCTTCGGTTACGCGGAGGAAGCGCTTGCGCGAAATCCAAGAGCCAACGGAAACGATGCGCGACGAGAAACGAAATCGATGTCGGATCATCGATCGAATGTAACGACGAATTCCGAAAGACGAGCCAACACGATACTGTCGTGGTATTCTTATGCCGCCACTCGATAATGTAATGGAAAATGTAACAAGTAATGGAATATTTAAACGTTTGAAAAAACGTACAGAGAGCATAACGAATGTTATCGTTTCAACGGAATGTTTTACAGGAATTTATCCAACACCTGCTGGAACGAAACAATATCTTAACACAAAACGTGAAATATACGGAACGGTCTTACTTGGATTCAAATTTCCAATAAAATATGACACCCGAGAAATACTAATAATTTTGTACTTTTGTAAGGAACTAAAGTTTACCTAAATAAATCAAATAAACGTTTGCCCATAAATCATTCCAGGAAAACTCTAGTCATTATTGAAGCATGACACGATCGGTCCATATGGAATCTGACGGGAGCAGGAAGGGGGAAACATTTTATTTGAATAATGGATGACGTTCATTCGATGGAACGAAATATTTCATTGTTCAGGGAGCACGGGAGATTTGTAAACGTAAATATTTTTCGTAAATTGTTCGAGTAGTCCTAGCTCTTCCCTACACCCTCGTCACATGTCCCCGCCCTATTCTGTTAGCAACGTTGTGTGATGCGAGCGCGGCTTTGTATCGTCGCGTACTTCCACGGACAGGCGTCGGTTATTATTGTTGCGTAATGTTTACGTCACTTACACGTACGCAATTGAATAACCATAAGCGTTGTGTGCCGCGTACTATCTCGGTCATTTTTCCTCCGTTTCGCCTCGTTCGAATTCATACCGACCAATCCACTGTTTCCTTCCTGCCTCGCCACCTCTTTTCATCCTCCCGAATAAATTCGTATCCGTGTAATACTAGTCGAATCACTGATGTGTAAATATCCACGAAATAATTCCTTCGTGCTTCCAATGCTGGAGCAAACAGTTGGACGAGTGTTTTTAGTCGTCTTTATTCGAGAGTAATTAGTACGAAAGAATTATAGACGCTCAGACCAGAGAAATCGTATAAAAGAATTACGACTGACGTCTCGATCACGACGAGGACCCTCTTCAGCCTCAAGTTCGTCGAACACGCTACAAGGAAAGGTTGAAAATATAATTAGAAAGATGGTTTCTAAATATACACAAGTGGCTGACGTATGTAGATGGTCACCTTTCTGGGTTTTAGTTTCCCAGAAGGCAATTTCATATGTTACACGTTCGAGTAAAGTTTTACTTTGGATTGTTAAACGAAATTTCGTTCGGTCTACATTTTCCCTTTCTGGGTTTTAGTTTCCCGGAACGCAATTTCATATGTTACACGTTCGAGTAAAGTTCGAGTTTGGATTTGTTAAATGAAGTTCCATTTGATCTACATCCTTTAAATATGATGGTTTATTGCTGAGTAAATAAAGATTAATCTGCGCAACTTCACTCGGATAGTGTATTTATCTCTGTCTTCCAACTTTCATTCGTGTAAGTATCGGAATTCGCTTCGTACGATTCGTTCCGGGTCATTCCACGCGAAATCGATCACTTTTTGCTGTCGATGTCAGGGATTTCGTTGAAATTGAAATACGATGTAGTCGACGTGAAATTAGGGGAGGGTTGAAGTAATCGCTTAGTTGCACTCGAATCTCTTCGAAAAATATCGAACGTCGAGTATTGTGATTTTTGAAAACACGCTGTTCAAATGAATTTTTATTTCTGGAATAATCAACCGTAATAAAATCCTCGATGAAATTCTGCGAACTTCTGATCGACCTCTGTTTTCAGAGATCTGAAAAGTATTTACGTATTTCTAAAAGGCTCCTCTACGGGACAAGGTTATTTCCAAGTAGGCGTTTTATAATTGACATCGTAATGAGTTGTTACAGCTGCTCAGGTAACCGATTCGGACGGTGGCTACTACGGTCGGCTGACCGTATCGTTCTCGCGCTGTATTCTCTGAATGAAGTGTACAAACGAAATCGCCAGGTTTCATTGCCACTCCAATGATGCATTCATACCTTTATAGTAGTTCCACTGACCTACTCCTCGCCAATGATACTTTTTTCATATTAAGGTTCTCGAATACCTTGCTTGTTTTTTGTTAACGATGTAAAAGTCGCATTACCTTCTGCACTCTGTTTGTCCGTAAATTTAAGACCATCAACTTGATGACTCAAACCCTCCTTAATTTTACCTACGCAACGACATATTTCAGTTTCCATGAAATCCCTCGCCTAGATCGTACGAAGCATTCGATTCGAAGTGGAACGATCGTCGTTCGAGTTTCCTTTTCACGCGATTCGTTTCACGTTCACGATTGTGAATCCCTTTGGTCTCCTCGCTCGAGAAACCGGAAGGACAATGAAAGTGTCCGTCGAAGGACGTTAACGGCCAACGAGAATAGCGTGCTTGTCGCGAAAAAGTCTGTTTGCAAATTAGATCGTAAGCGTACCTATCTCGACTCGTTCGATAAAACCGGATAGCGGCGTGTACGATGCAGGTGTATTATCGCTCGGAAGGAATCTTTTATTTTTTTCTCGTCAAGTGCACGCCAGAGCAAATCCATTTACCATAAAGGCTGGGCATTTTGCAATTCCTCTCGGCGCCGTCGAGACTCCGAGCGTGGCGAGACAAAACAGAATCTGATGGGAAAATCGCAAATTTATTTTCGTGGTGCCCGTTGAAGTTTCTGGGACGATTTATATCCTTCGAATTCAACTAATCGACCACCGATTATTCGCAATAATATATAGTACCGTTAACTAAATAGAAATCCAAAGTAAAAGTCTCCATAAAAAAAAAAATTGTGTAAGGCGTCTACAAACTGAATTAACAGTGTCTATGAAGAAAATATAAAAAGTGTTCCCGTTCCTCAGCGCTAGACAGGTCATTTTAGTTAAATAGAACGTATTCTAATACTTAAGTTACTTATATATTGCTCAAATTAAAGCAACAGAACAATTAACATACCGATAAGATAGCGACAAACAGTTTCAGCAGAAGTTAACAAACGAACCGAGTGAAACTCTAGCTGGAAAATAATTTAGAAATGCTCAGGGTTAGTCGAGAACCGCGAGGTCCTCTCAGGGTTAATTTGGCATCGTGATTCGATCTCTCCGCATCTAGCTATTACGCGTTCCTTTCACTATCTCTTCCCTTTCTCGCAACGAGGTAAACCTAGTCTCGTTGAATCGTATCGAGCCGCATCAACTGTCAATTTCGACGTCGTCGCGTCGTTCTTCGTTAGTAATTCGAAGCGTGGTCGCTTCCTGGGTGGTTGCTTCCTAGGTGGTCTTATTATCGGTAATCGCATTAAAGCCATGTGATTGCAGGCGGAGGATCTCCTGGACGACATTCTGTCGTTCGAGGGTGGATCCTTGGGCGACAGTTTGAAGGATGGCCAGCCAGGAAGCCTGACCAACATTCCGGAGCTAGAAATCAAACCGGAGCCTCTGCTGCTCACCGAGGCGGAGATACACGCTCTTGCCAAAGACCGACAGAAGAAAGACAATCATAACATGAGTAAGTAGTCCAGATTAGCCTTAGTCCACTCCGCTTCTTCTGTTCGCGTAACAATTTGTAAAATAACCAAGAAACGAGTGTTTACGCGCGTAAGTAGTTTTTCGTAATCGTTTCCTGAAAGGTAAAGGAACGTTCACGCAACGGAGGATTTATATATTGTCTTGTCTCCCCTCGAGGCTCGTTAAAACGCAGACCTCTCTTTCAACAAGGTTTGTCCTTTCGATTGCGTCGTGTTTGCTCAAATACTCGCCGAGCATTCCTTCCCTCATGGTCGCTGCTCCAAATGAACCTGCCTATCGGAATAGCAATGGCGGCAATCGCGTTTCACCGCTTCGGACCTGCTGCACATTGTAATGCACGCGAACCTTAACATGATTTTTTTTTTTACGACAGTATAACCCATTTTCTTTAGAATAACGAATATCTATGTACTTAGGATTTACCTCGAATTCGTTACTTTCGAGTTACCTCTACTAGCGGTTTACCTTTAGATAGATTGTCACACCCGAAAGAACGTCGTCCCTTTATCCAAAGAAAAAACCTCACGTCCGAAAGAGTCGAGTCGCGCTTTGGCGCAGATACGGGCAAATCCACGGAACTTTTAGATTTGCAATCTCGCGCCTTTATTTAACGTTATTCTCTGATGTTTCGATATTTTAACTATTTTGTTTTGCGAAATTTACGCCGTCAGGTAAAACAAATTCAAACACGCGGTATAAAGCTGTTTCGAAATGTATCGAGCAATTTAAATATTATTTAAATATTTCTCATTTTTCGAACGTTGTATTCCCAAAACGTATTGTATTTCTCGTTATGTTTGTATATTTTGAAGTTTAATGAAGCTTTACTATGCGTTATTAAATATTTAAATATTGAATACAAAATTTTTGCTTTCAATATTATGATTTAAAACCTTTTCCCGAATTTCACCTCGTGATATCCACTGCCAGAATGTGTACTAAATATTCAAAATGTGCTCTTGAAAAAAATTCGTTTTTTTTTTTTCAATTGCAAATCTAAAAGTTCTGTGGATTCGCCCATATCCGTCCCATTCGCATAACTGGCCGGCAAGCTGTTCCACGAGGCGTTATTCAAGCTAAACGCGACTCGTTCACGAGCCCCCAATGAGAAACCAACGCTAAACGTTCCTTCATTTCCGCAAAAGAATAATCGCGAGTTGTTTTCAACGACCTTCAGGATTTGCATGGAAAACAGCTCGCGTTCCGGTTTCTTGGCGCTGTAATCGCAACGATCGCAATTATGATTTTTCAGTCGAGAGGCGACGACGTTTCAACATCAACGACAGGATCAAAGAGCTTGGGACACTTCTGCCGAAAACCAATGACCCGTGAGTACAATTCTACGCGGAACCGTTTCCAAAACTTCACCCGGAGCGAGAAACACTTTTCGCTTCGACGGGTTTCTAATTCCGGATGGTTCGTAATTAGTTGGGATTTCTCACGGGGCACAGTTTGGGAAACGCTGCTCGGAGTCATTCGTTTCAGTCGCTTGTCTATCCGTCCACGTCTGTAAGTTCATCCGTCTTTTTACGCACCGGGCGTTCCTTTCCTCTTTCGATTTACCGCACATTCGTTTCTTTTACCGTTTGCAAGGGAAGCGTAATAAATATTGTTTTCTCTCTTATTTTTCCTAACGTTTCTTTCCGTAAGAGGATCTACCGTCGGGCCATTATTATCCGTTCGTAAGTCCTCGCGACGCGAGTTAGACGAGGTTCGCTACTCGAGTCGAAATGCTTTCACCGGAACTTCGTCCTTCCGTTTCCTTTTCTGGCTGGCACTCCGCGATACTCCGGGGCCAGCCTCGTCCCGCGGCGAAATCGTCTTACGCGTTTCTGCTTTCGCGAATGAATTTCTGCTTTGACGAATTTTCAGGAACGACGATCCCGCGATACACGAAACCGAATACTTGCGAACGTCGGAATGGAGAGAGAAGGTATCGTTGGCAGCTGAGAAATAAAAGATACGCGAACTCTCGAGCGGTAGCACGGAATCATTTTAAGCGAGTATATCTCTCCGAGGTATTCTTCTCAGCTGCCAATGATACTCTTGTTCCTTGGATCGATGCTTTCCTTTTTCCGCGCACCGTCTCGCACGTCTCGCCCGGAGTTGGGGAAAATTTTAGCGGAGGGATCCTCTCGAATTTTCTCCTCCCAAGGACCCTCTCGGAAAATTCTTGAGGGCAGACCTTCCGGAATAGAATTACCTTCTCGCTTTTTAAATATAATTTAAAACTCTATTTTCTTTTTATAAATGTACTCATGTTTTAACACCTGCTATTCAATCTAAAGAGTTCCATGGTCTTTTTTATCATCCACGTCGTTTACTACAAGAATTTTTGATCGCGTCTGGGCTCGTTTAATTTACGACTTCGCCATTCGTACATCCGCTTTTTGTCGACAGTCTTCCGTGTCACTGTCAGCGTGCCGAGAATCTTAAAAACTAGCTGTCGTTCCTCGATCTTTCTTTTTTTTTTTTTTTTACCTCTTTCCCTTCTATGCTTTCCGACGTGTTTCTTTTATACTCCAAAAAAAGGCTCCGCGGGAGATTGAAGTTTTAACGGGTGGCTGACGTGGAAGCCATTTTTGGTTCTACGCGACTGGTTCCACGGAAATATCGGCGATAAAAATTGTCTTTCAAACCTAGTTGATAGATGTTATACGAGACGCTATAAATTAGCAAAGTCATACATAGCGTTACAAAAAATTAGATTATTTCTAAAGCTTGCCAAAGCGTAGAGGACACCTTGATGTTACTCAAGACGTTATAAATTGGGAAAGTCGTACGTAGCGTTACAACAAAATTAGTTTATTTCTAAAGCTTCCGAAAACATAGAGAACACCTCGACTTCGTTTAGAGGGTGACTTGTGTAGATTCGAATATTTTAAGACACCTGTATCGTCGCAATAGATTATTTCTTGAATCTCGCAAAGCATACTACAGTGCACCTTGACTTTGCTCAGAGGGTGAAAAACTTCTGGAGATTCAACTATCTTAAGGCGTCTCGAGAAAGAAAGAGTCGATAGGGCATTTTAATCCCAAGTATACCACCGTATGGTAAATTATAGCAGTGCAAGCAGCGTTAAGCTTTGCTGATACAAGTTGCGTAACGTTCGCGAAAAAGAAGGCAACGTCGAGGGCCAGATTCCTTCGGAGATTTGTATTGCACGAGAGAGGAGCAAGAGGATACGCTTGCCGTCGCGACACACGCGAGTAGGCCAACACAGGCGAGATATCGTCTCTCCGATAACGAAACGAGTCTCGGTCTAACGACGATGGCAAACATTAACAACGCGACACCGTTTCCATCGTCTCACGGATCTCACTTTTTTCACCGTTTCTTGACCAGGATTTCTTTGGGCCGGTTTTATCATTGCATGCGCAATTATCGCACGATTGTCGATTACCCGCTCAAATTAAAGGGAAAGTTCGTTCTCGAACCCGCAGTTGTCTGCACGAGAAATCAACTTTCGCGTAAGAACGTCTGTTTAGGGGTTTATTCCCAAATATACTTCAACTTTAGAAGGTTTAATCGAAACGAATAGTTTTACGAAGAAGTCGCTATATCGTTCGATTCGAACTGCTAGATGTTTATTGCCAGGAGTGGCAAAGCTATACTCGCGGCTTCGTTGACAGAACGTCTGTTTCGAAAGACATGGATCAGCGAGAAACGCGAATGCTTATCAGCAAATATCTTGCACGGACTCTAGCAATGACGCTTTGCCAAGAAACAGATTCGTTTACGCATTGTGCCGGGTGTTTTCTTTCACACGAGCGTTTAGAACAGCAGTGAATCAAGTTTACCCACGTTTTGAATCATGTCTTAAGGGGTCATGCACGAGGCCGAAGAAAGCATGATTTTTGTGATATTTTTATTCAAACAACTAAAGACATTTTAATTACAATACATCATAATTTTTCACCACTTCGCAGAGAGTCGAAAACTTTTCCATTGCAACGCTTTTCTCGTTCCACCCAAAACAGCCACTCTTTTTTCAATTATCTCCGAGGTTTATCGTATCTACCACTTTGTGCAATGTTTGTTACGATTGTTCCGAGCGATGTTGGTGGACTCGTCGAACGATAAATCGTTACGTCCGTGGCCCCCATTGCGAATCGAACGTACAGGATTTCTTCGTTCTCGCGTCGCGAAAAACTTGTTCCATCGGTTGGCATGTCGCGATGCGACGCGTTTTGGGGGAAACGAGAAAATAAGGACGCGAGTTGGGAAAGCTGGGAAAGGATA